GGGGTCTTCGTTGGCCAGGACCCCCTCCACACCTCCTGGCCCCCTGCACACTCCTGGACGCCATGTCCAGGCGTTTACACACACACACATACACACGCGCACACACTTATACATACATGCATTCATTCATGCATGCATGCATGCAGACATACATACATACAAACATACATATCTGTACACTCATATATATATATACATATACATATATATATATACACATACGTATTTATTTACACATGTATGTATGCACACATACATACACACATAGACAGATGTACACGAATATAGATATAGAAATAGGCATAGACATAGATGCATGGAGATACATACAATGTTGTTTATGCATACGTGATTGAATTGGTATACGATATATACATTCATGTATATGTGTGTGTGTGTGTATGTATGTATGTATGTATGTATGTCTGTCCGTTTGTCTGTCTGTCTGTCTGTCTGTCTGTATGTATGTATGTATGTATGTATGTTTGTATGTTTGTATGTTTCAACGCATGTCCACACACATGTGTACTGCATAGCGAACATACCAACGTGTAGCTGTGCGCAACAACAGGTATAATTAGTAGATATAAGTCGTCAACACTTGGACGAGTTTGCACACAGGACCGTATACACATGTATAGCATTACGGGGTTTCTGATCGCCACAGGCGCCGCCTCTGCCAAAGCAGGAGGTGTCGCAATGTTTATCTCCGACTCGTTTTGTTCTGGTCAGGACATACTGCACACGACTGTCATTGCTGGCCGCTTTCGGCATGTCAGAATCCAATTCTCTGAGTGCACACTCTTGACGTTATCAACATATATCAGAAAGTGCGCACTACACCTCCCTTCAGGTGGAAGCTGGCTCTGATCCTTGTCGCACTTCCAAGGCCATTCGCAAGGAACTTTGGTCCTCACTCTCGGCGCTGCTCCGTACTCTGCCTTCTCGGCACATCCTTGTCCTTGCAGGAGACATGAACACCCCGCAACTTGGGGGGGCCCGAGCGAAATGTCTCTCATCAGCGAAACCTCCGCCGGACCTGGGTGAGTTTCACGATATCCTCCGTGAACACAAGCTACTACATTTAAACTCGTGGGGTCGCCGAGCGCGTTGCACGTTCCAGGGACCTCACGGCTCCACGCTCATAGACCACATCTTCACCAGGCACTCGCAAGGAGACCAGGTGGCCTGTGAGGCGGGTCGTATCGTGTGGAACTTTTTCAGCTGGCGCAAGGGTGGCAAACATTACCCCGTCTCTGTCAGTCTTGGTCTTCCGGCCGTCCGTCATCTACAGACAGCGGCCTCCACGCCCGTCCCAGCCTCTTCTTGACACGCCTGGTCTGATTCAGGCCTGTCGTAACCCCATGCATCCCCACATCAGTGCCTGGACCGTCTCATCCTCATTCGTCAGTAGAAGCCGTTAATGATGCCCTGCTGCAAGCTGCAGGTGCAGCTTTTCCGGGTAAGGTCCGGCATGGGCACATTGTTCCGTGGCAGGAGCCCCAAGCTGCCATCTCCGTCCAAGAGATGTGGCAGGCATACCGTGCCTGGAAAGGTACCACGAACGGTCGCCCTAGTACCATCTGGAAGGCGTGGGCGGCTTATGCCACATTCCAGAAGGCCCACAAGGCCTTTCGGCGGAGTTCTCGTCAGGCCAGACTCACGTGGATCCACACACAAGTTGAAGTCATGGAACAGGAGGCACGGAAGGGGAACACCCGTGCCTTGTTTCAGCTGGCCGGTCGACTTGGACCCAAGACCCAAAGGCGTGCACTGCAGCTTCGGGGCCCGAAGGGTGAAATCTGGTCACAGACTCAGCAAATCGATTGTCTTCGTGAATTTTACTCTGAACTTTATACCAAGCAGGATGATTCTCACTCCATGTCCTCTGCACCTGGGGCCCCTCCCCCGGTGCTCCCTGTCATTTCTGAGTCGCCTTCCATCATGCGCCACCCCGCTGCGGACACGTCTCGTTCGCCCTTTCGCTGCCTTGATTTGACCCAGCTCGAGAAAGCCCTGTCATCACTTCCTCCGCACAAAGCGGCTGCGTGTGCTTCCGTATGAGCACCCTGGCTCACAGGCGTTCTTCAGACTACCGACACCGTTCCACAGGCCTGGAAAGATGCATGGATGGCATTAATGCCGAAGGTGTCATGTCCCACGGCGCCCCGGCAGTTGCGCCCTCTCGGCATCTCCGAGCTGTCCGGCCGTGCAGTGTGTGGCCTCACTCAGCATCGGCTGCGACCTTTTGTGTTTGAATTTTTACGAGGCATACCCCAGTACGCCTATCTGGCGCACAGGTCCACGGACCAGGCGCTGCATCGCGTACTTACGCACTGTCAGGCCGTCAAATCACTTTGTGAACCTGCGAGGCGGGACATACATGCTGCGCGCTGTCAGCCATCCCCTCCGCGGGAGCGGGGCGGAGGATTGCAGATATCGTTGGACTTATCTCAAGCCTTCGATAGACTCGAGTGGAGCCTTGTCCACGAGGCTCTTCAAGGAGCATGCATTCCACATGACTTGTACCAATTGGTCATTCTATGAGATTATTATTTGTTCTACCACCTCAAGGTGGGACAAGCTCGCACCTCGGAGGGGAGTGCGCCAGGGCTGCAGAATCGCTCCACTTTTGTGGGCTCTAGCGACAGCAGTGCTGGTCCAGACACTTGATGCTCAGGTCCTCGTCTGACTTGTGGTCCGTCCGCTCTCTTACTATCTTCGCAGACGGCTTCCACTCAGGTGAAATACTTCGTAAGAGAGAAGACCTCCCGCAGGTTGTCCGACGTATTGGCCTGTTGCTGGACACGCTGGAGGCGGCACATATGCTCATCAATCGCAAGAAATCTGCAATATTATTCCGATTTACTGCAGGCTTCGCTGCCACGAGCCTTCGCAGCTACCTTAAGCAGTCCACTGATGGTCAACTTTTTCGCCGACCGGGAAGATTCATGAGATACCGGTGAAGTCGAGCCATCCCTACGTCGGACTTATCATATCCTACCATGACTATAGCGATGCCTCGATTAGACACCGTATCCAGCAAGGCTGGACCACGTGGACTCGTTTACGTCCTTTGCTCACCAAGGCGTCAACCCCACAACTTGGGCTTCGACGTCGGCTCTGGTCTGCTAGTGTTGTGCCAACCATGCTTTATGGACTTCATGTTCTGCCCCTGACAGCTCGTCAAGTGGGCCAAGTCCAGGCTGTCTACACGAGGCATCTCCGTGCATTAGCACGCTCTCAATCACATCTCACATCTGAGAGCACGGTTGCCTAGCACCCACACGTCTCGGTGTTCCTCATGTTGCTCTGATTCTGGGGCGCCTCCTACTCGGCATGATTGACCGGCTGACTCACACCTCATCTGTGGGTGGACCTGATCCTGTAGCACATTGCACAAGAGAC